CCAGAGTGAGAGGGAGGATGAACCAGCAAGATTGGACCTTGTGTTCACCTGGGCAGCTCAGATATGAGGACATCAAGTATGAGAGTCCCCTAGGAGCTAGCGAACCACGTGGTTCTGTGCTATGAATAGATAGTAGAGTGCAAGTGGAGAGAATAACAGGTTGAATGGGAAAAGCCTGACTATAAAAGAGGGGACTACATAGGGTTGAAGAACTTCCTGCGGGAGGTCCAGTGGGACAGAGAACTGGCAGAAAAGCCAGTAAATGAAATGATGGAATATGTAACAACAAAATGCAAGGAGGCAGTAGAAAGGTTTATTCCCAAGGGAAACAGTAACAACGGGAAGACAGAACGAGCCCCTGGTTTACCGACGGTGTAAGGAGGCAAAAACAAAATGCAATAGAGAATGGAAAAAAGTACAGAAGGCAGAGAACACACGAAAATAGGGAGATCAGTCGCAGAGCAGGAATGAGTACGCACAGGTAAGGAGGGAGGCTCAGCGACAGTATGAAAAAAGACATAGCATCGAGAATCAAGACTGACCCGAAACTGTTGTATAGCCACATCAGGAGGAAGACACAGTCAAAGACCAGGTGATCAGATTAAGGGGCAGAAGGTGGAGAACTCACAAGAAATGATCAGGAGGTATGTGAGGAGCTGAACAGGAGATTTAAGGAAGTTTTTACAGTAGAGACAGGAAGGGCTGTGGGAAGGGGACAGCACAGAAGGGAACATCAAGAGAGAATATACCAACAAGTGTTGGATGACATACGAACAACTGAGGAGGAGGTGAAGAAGCTCTTAAGTGACCTTGACACCTCAAAGGCGATGGGACCGGACAACATTCCCATGGGTCCTTAGAGGAGGAGCAGAGATGCTGTGCGTGCCACTAACCACAATCTTCAAACATCCCTTGAAATGGGCAACTACCTGAGAAATGGAAGACAGCTAATGTAGTCCCCATATTTAAGAAAGGAAACAGAAACGAGGCACTAAAATATAGACCTGTGTCTCTGACATGTATTGTGTGCAAAGTCATGGAGAAGATTATCAGGAGGAGATTGGTTTGAACAGCTGGAAAGGAACAAGATTATAAATGAAAACCAGCATGGGTTCATGGAAGGCAAATCTTGTATCACAAACCCCCTGGGGTTTTATGACAAGGTAACAGAAGTAAGACACGAGAGAGAGGGGTGGGTAGATTGCGTTTTCCTAGGGCTGCAGGAAGGCCTGTGACACAGTTCCCCACAAGAGATTAGTGCAGAAGCTGGAGGATCAGGCGCACGTAAAAGGGAGGGCACTGCAATGGATAGGGAATACCTGACAGGGAGGCAGCAACGAGTCATGGTACGTTGAAGAGGTTCACAGTGGGCGCCTGTTACGAGCGGGGTCCCACAGGGGTCAGTTCTAGGACCAGTGCTATTTTTGATATATGTGAACGACATGATGGAAGGAATAGACTCTGAAGTGTCCTGTTCGCAGATGACGTGAAGTTGATGAGAAGAATTAAATCGGACGAGGATGAGGCAGGACTGCAAAGAGACCTGGACAGGCTGGACATGTGGTCCAGCAACTGGCTTCTCGAATTCAATCCAGCCAATGCAGTCATGAAGATTGGGGAGGGGCAAAGAAGACCGCAGACAGAGTATAGGCTAGGTGGACAAAGACTACAGACCTCATTCAGGGAGAAAGACCTTGGGGTGACATAAACCGAGCACATCACCGGAGGCACACATCAACCAAATAACCGCTGCAGCATACGGGCGCCTGGCAAACCTGAGAATAGCGTTCCGATACCTTAATAAGGAATCGTTCAGACACTGTACACTGTGTTGTTAGGCCCATACTGGAGTATGCAGCACCAGTCTGGAACCCACACCTGGTCAAGCACGTCAAGAAGTTAGAGAAAGTACAAAGGTTTGCAACAAGGCTAGTCCAGAGCTCAAGGGAATGTCGTACGAGGAAAGGTTAAGGGGAAATCGGACTGACGACACTGGAGGACAGAAGGGTCAGGGGAGACATGATAACGACATACAAGATACTGCGGGGAATAGACAGGTGGACAGAGATAGGATGTTCCAGAGAGGGGACACAGGGACAAGGGGTCACAACTGGAAGCTGAAGACTCAGACGAGTCACAGGGACGTTGGAAGTATTTCTTCAGTCATAGAATTGTCAGCAAGTGGAATAGCTAGCAAGTGAAGTTAGTGGAGGCAGGAACCATACATAGTTTTAAGAAGAGGTATGACAAAGATCAGGAAGCTGAGAGAGAGAGGATCCAGTAGCGATCAGTGAAGAGGGGGGCAGGAGCTGAGTCTCGACCCTGCAACCACAAATTAGGTGAGTACAATTAGGCGAGTACTACACACACACACACACACACAACTCACACACACACACACACACACACACTCGCACACTCACACCACACACACACACACACACACACAGACACACACACACACCACACACACATACACACACACACACACACTCACACACACACACACACACACACACACACACACACACACACACACACACACACACAACACATACACACACTCACACACACACACACACACACACACACAGACACACACACACACACACACACACACACACACACACACACACACACACACACACACACACACACACACACACACACACACAATTTATTTTTAATGTAATTCTACAGTAATAATAAAGGAATCTCACATTTTCCCTGATGACAACAAGTTTAGAATTTTTTTGTAGCTCTGAGAGATGGGGATTAAAAGAGGAATATAGTTGTGGAGAGACCAGACAGGTGTGGGAGAGACAAGACAGGTGTGGGGGTTCCCAGACAAGTGTGGGGGAGACCAGACAGCTGTGGGGGATACCAGATAGGTATGTGGGAGGCCAGACAGGTGTGGAGGAGACCAGTCAGGTGTGGGGGAGACCAGACAGATTTCGGGGATACCTAGACAGGTGTGGGGGATGCCACACTGGTGTGGAGAAGACCGCCCAGCGTGGAGGAGACCAGACAGGTTTGGGGGATACCAGACAGGTGTGGGGGATACCAGACAGGTGTGGGGAGACAACACAGGTGTGAAGATCAGACAGGTATGCTGGGTGACTTAATTTTTCTCTCAGGTCATGTGTGGTACGTCTGTGTCCTCATTTTTTCCTTCCAGAAGGAAGAGGAAGAGGAGGATGCTGGTCAACAGCTCTTGATCAAAGTCATCAGAGCTACCCTCTCCTTTCTTGGATCAAACCCCTGTTACCTCCTATTCCCCCAGGTGTTGTATGCTTATCATGGGCTTAGAGTCACCCCCATGAATGCAAAAATAGAAATAATAATAATAATAATAATAATAATAATAATTATTATTATTATTATTATTATTATTATTATTATTATTATTATTGTTATTATTATTATTAAAATAATAATAATAATAATGTATTTATATTTACTTTGTGTTACAGAGGAGGTCAGATTCTGCTTCATGGTTTTCTAACAATGATTTGACTGGAATAGAATCCAAGTCTCTTGTGTTGTCTCACATCAGCTTCTGAATCCATGTATGGAATCTGCTGCTACTTTGCCGGTCTTGTAACACGCGTCACTTCATCTGTACACTCACACAAATCAAGTTCTTTACATGAATCTGAGACACAAATGCAGAACAAGCTGACATTATTTCGCTCTGTGTAGAGCTTGATCAATTTGACTCGATTAGGCTCTACACAGAGCAAAAATGTGTCACAATAAATGCTTCTGCAACCTGTCTGTTTCTCATTAATGTCAGCGGTGCGCCTCTGTGTCGAGAGCTTTGTATCTCTCACTCGGTTTTGCATTAAAGCTTCCATAATATCCCTCTCGGAGGAGACAATGTCAATGTGATGACAGCTGATGCAAAATATTTCCCTGTTTTCACTTATAACCATCTCGTTTACCTCGTTTTAGTCTCACACACATCACAGAGTCTCTGTTAACCATGCCTTCATTACAGAGTATCTTATATGTCATGACCACGTCTCCTCGCGTTATGTGAGTTTCATCAACCTTAGTCTTGCCTGGTGGTGCATTTTTCAGTTCCTCGACGAAGTTAGTGAAAGACCTCGCGCTTATATTTTTAACAATTGGAGGGTTTCGTACTTGTGAATAATACGAGAGTATTGTTCTTATGTGTGTCAAAGCGTACCTAAATATTACCTTGAAGTTCTCAAAGGCCGTTCTTACATCAGCCAGCTTTGTACATGCTGGCGATATTAACCGGTTTATTTGACTAGATCATTTCCTTAAACCCCGTAGTTGTTTTCTTACCAAATAGTACACTATCGTCTTACGTCAATAGGTTCAATTTCTTTAGCCTCTACTCATAGCTCATTCTCCTTAGCTCTAGGACTACTCCAGCTGTGTACCTTTGAAATTATTCTAGTTTCTTAAGATGCTGTATGTGGTGAAAATTCCATGTTAGTGAGCCTTAAGGGTTTTAACTCTTATTATTGTGTAATTATTGGACTTGAAGTCTTAGGTCACGTGTTGGGCCACATATCCACTTTATCCATATGTAATTAATAAACATGAGATACCCAGAAAGTGGTTAGTATACCTGTGTGTGTGTGGAAGAGCACACACACACAGGTATCAGATCCGAAACTATAGCATCATTCAAAAAATAATAAACAGATAATAATTATATGAGATCAAAAGTTGGACAAACCTGCCACCTCAGGCTGAAGGAAAGGAAATTCTCGAAATCACAGAAAATTTGTTTAACACGACAGATTTCGTACATAATTTTAAGAATAGTATGAAAGGGTCTATGAGGTCAGGAATTTAGTGTTCTCCATCGTAAGTAATAAGTAGACGAGGAGTAGAACCGAGACAGACTCAGTAAGTACAAATGAGTACACACACACAGACAGAACAAGTTCTTAATGGAGCACAGTTTAACAGTTGTTAACCACGGTATGAAATTACAATGAAGGTTTGAAGTATCTACTTACCGTATTGGACAGGAGCTAGTAGTCCGTCAGCAGGAAAGCAGAAGACTACCTGCCACTTGCAGTAGGAGCCCTCTGCTAGTCTTCCGTGTTCTGCTTGGGCACCACCTTCAAGAAATGTCACAATAGCACACACAATTTTATGTATTTGAAAGAAGAGCGACTGCAATGCTTCCTTGGAGCTGGTATTATTGCTATTCTATCTGGCCCCCAGGAGGTCCCAGCGCGAGCAATATAACAGGATACAAGAATTGAGGAAGAACCCTCTCACCTGCCGACATTAATAATAATTCCTCGCGTTCCTATCCCTCCATAGTCAGGGTCAGCCTCTAATAATGCAGCACCAAGTCGCCGGTCTCTGCGAAAATCTTAGTACCATGTATATAGCCCCGCCGTTGTGCTGGTGTGTCTGAGGGCGTCACACTGCTCAACACTGGTACTGAACTACCCGCTGGCACGCAAACACCAGCTCTCTTACCCGTGAGTGACGGTAGCCTAAACGATCGCTCCAGGATAACACCTGGTGCTATTGTTGTCCCGGATTTGTGTTTGCAGTATTCAAGCGAGGCTCAGAAGGAAAAATGTATTGTGAAAATCCACAGTATCTCGTCTTAAAACTCACGAAATGCAAATTCAACTTTCTCGAAATTTTCAGATCGGGTGGAATTTCGGGTTAATTTATTATTTCTCCACTGGTGTTTTTTTCTGCAACACATTCTCACGTATCACCTGTGATGGGAAAATAAATTAGTAAACTACCGGTAGTTGACCGGGAGTTGTGAGTGTGAGGGAGGGAGCAGCGGCTCTCACATAACGAGAGAGAGAGCGGCGAGTGTATCCTGGTCGGTGGTCGAGGAGAGAGTGAGACTGTGCAGATCAACAACAGCAGCAGCAGCTGCAGTGGCTCCGTCCCGTGCCAACACCTACACCTCAGTGTATGTCCTGACACTGGCAGGTGGAGGTGTTGACTTTTGCCTTCTGGTAATAATAGCATCTTATAATATTCTATTCATTTCTTTAATGGTTGGGCTGGTGAGCCAGGCGAAGGCCTCGTCCATGTGACCATAAGCTCTGCTGAGCAGAATAAGATCCGAATCACGAGATATTTTCCCATTTCTTTTCCTCGCAAAATATACGTTTCCTTCCCCTCCTGCTTATCCATACATACCAAAACGCCATTGAGAAATTTCATTTTAATTTATAATATATATATATATATATATATATTATATATTATATTATATATATATATATCATTATTTTTTGGCTAAATATATATTATTTTTTCTTTCAAGAATTTTGTTGCAAAAATCAAATCAGTAATTAATTACGTCATTTAAATTAACAATGTCTTCAGACTTGTACTTCGTATTACTCCATGATGCTCGAGAAGTCATTTTCTTATTAGAAGTAAACGAAACTTATTCAAGATCATCAGGTTCAAGTTCTTTAGAAATCAGTTTGTTGAGGAATCAAAAGAACGATGTTCAAGATCTTTAAGGTTCAAAATAATTAGAGACCAATGAAAAGTTACTTATCGTTAATGCGAAGAACTTGGTACACGTATAACACCTGGGTGTCTTCATCTGAAGACGTTTCGCCAACCAATGGCTTTGTCAGTTCATTACAGAGAATATGTAAAGACAGTAGATGAGGTAATCAGTCCTTCAGCCTTGCAGAACTATACACAAGACAGTGGAAGATAAGGTAATCAGTCCCCCAACCTTGCAGAACTGTGCAGAGAGGGGAGTGGAAATTAAGATAATCAGTCCCTAAGCCTGGAAGCCGGTGTTCAGTACCTTAACCTTGATGAATCTGAAGTAAAGGCAGGTAAATGGACTCTTATATACTGCTGCATCTCATCTGACTCCAGTATATAAGAGTCCACCGTCCTGCCTTCACTTTAAGACTCATCTAGACTAAGGTACTGAGCACCTTCTTCCAGGCTGAGGAACTGATTATCTCATCTTCTACTGTCTTCACATATCATCTCTGTATTGAAATGATATAACCACTGGTTGACGAAACGCAAAAGAAAAAAGACACCCAGGTCTTACACATGTGTCTAATTCTTCCTCTTGTCGGTAATGTATACTTTTACTTTACGATACTAACGCATTATGTCTCCCGAAGCTGCGTTACTTTTGGAAGGGAAGGAGAGAAAATGTCAAATACCTCGGTGATAAAAAGGACAGGAAAAGACAAGAAACTTGAGATAATTAAGACTCATGTGCAACAGTTGGTTGTCTTTCCAAAACTTTTCGCCTACACAGCAGGCTTCATTAGTCTAAAAGAGAGATGGTAAATATGGAGACAGCAGAAGTAGTGGAGAGGTAAGGATGATGTGATCCGTCCACCAACTTTGAAGGAGTGACTCACCAAATCGTAATGGTACGATTGCAAACAAACCATACCACGGGTGGGGATAGAACCCGCGATCAGAGAGTCTCAAAACTCCAGACCGAAGGAGTAGTTGGAGGCGGTCAGTCCCTCAGCTTCGTAGTCATGAACCATCACCAGGCTGAGGGACTGACCACCTCAAGCTACCTCTTCAAGGTAGATGGACTGATCACATCATCTCCAGCTTTCCGCTGCTTCTGCTGCCTCCTCTGTTTTTGATTAATGAAGCCTGCTGTACAGGCGAAAAGTTTCGGAATACAACTACCTAAGTGTTGCACATGTGTCTTACTAACCATTTGTCGGTATTGTATTAACGTTGGTAGAATTACCGACAATGTGTTAGGTAACAGGGCACAAGTGCAATTAATGTGACATTTTATTGTGGCAACGTTTCGCTCTCCAAGAGCTTTGTGAACCATCTGTCAAGCCGTTACGGCTTTGTCAAGTCGTAACGCCTAGACTGCTTGAGCTTAGTCAAGCCGTAACGGCTTGATAAAGCTCCTGAAGAGCGAAACGTTGCCACAATAAAATATCACATTAGTTGCACTTGTGTCCTCTTACATAACATTTATCAGTATCGTATATCAGTAATATATTCACAGAATAACCTATATAGAGAGAAACACAACGTTTCACTTGTGTATGTTGAACTTTCTCACTAATTCACTTTCTGACTAAATTACTTGAGAAAATTCCCCAAACACGAACTAAAAATGTTACTCTCATTTCTCAAGTCTTTCATCACTACCTGTCGGCTGTTGCCACAAATTCGCATTCATGGACTGCACCTAGGTGATTATTGTAAAAGCAGTAACAGCCTGGTTGTTCATGATTCATTGCATCAAGAACATGACACAATCCCCAGCCTGTGTAAGATTTTGTTTTAATGCAAGGAAATATATCTAATAAACTGATTATGTGGGAACAGTCGAAATAATAATATGACGTTGATGAAGGAACATAAGTTTAAATATTAACGAAGATTGTTTTCGTTTTTAGGTTTTCTCAGTGTTGCTGAAGATAAATTGGTTAAAGCATTGAGCGAAATATATATTCAGATATCGCTATGGGTCTCAAATTATATTTTTAATAATGAATAAATGCATTTCATTTTGCTGAAGAGGGCCCAAGTGTTAGGCCGAATTCTACAGAATTCATCTTATTTTCTATTTTATTGTCTGTGGATTAGGTTCTACTACATACATGAATTATGTTGAAGTGGACATCAGGAATTACAAGATAACTCTCCAGTAAATAGTATTTCTTAAATTTGGACGTACACATCGTACACATGGGCCTGTGGACATTTATTGTAATGATATAACAAGATAAAACTTTTGATTTTAAATGTTAGTTTTATACTTCAGCTATACCAGACGGGGTTTTAACAAGTCCTTCCCGTTCCCAGCCTAGATTTAACTGCCCACAAAAGAGCGTTATTGTGGATATAGTGCAAATTATTAAGATGTAAAGAACAATCAGGGTTTAAGGAAGAAGTTCCGTAAAGAGCTACGTCTAGCACTGCAGGATGATGTTATTAAAATACTAAGTCGCAACAGGCAAAATTGCTTAGTTAAATCTAATCTTAATGAATATTAGGTATTGATCAGTCACTCGGAACTACACAGAGGACTCTTAAAGGACTAGAGATCATGCGTGTCATGGAAGGCACGAAATTAATAACAGTGGCAAAAATCAGTGAGCAGAAACTAGTGAGTGAATAATACTGTTGCCAGATATTAAGGCTTATATATCTCGCAAGTATGTAAGTAAAATGTGATTGCCTCATTGGTCAGGATAAGTCAACCAGGATAAACACAATGATACGATTCAATGCCATGATAGACTCCTAGCCCTATAACAGACTCGCTTCAAAACTCTATTGTCTAAGACACACGTTAAGGTGGGATAGTCTTTGGTCCTATTGGCGAGCTACGGCAACACCTATCGCTGGTGGCAAATGACAGAAGTCCAAAAGTGGGCCATCTCTGGATGGGAGGCCGGCACAAATAGAAAACTGGCACAAGAAAGAGTGGGTTCCAAAAGCTGGTGGTCTTTAGTCACGAACCGACGTGGATACTCACCTCGTGAAATTATTCCACCTCTAAATCGAGGGAATGGTACTGTTCCCTCTAGCAATCAAGAGGAAGCAGACCTATTTACTGAACATTTTGCTGCCAAGATACAAGTCCCTGATCCCGTGAGGAGGCACCTCCTTTCCTAGCCGCAAGAACTGTGTCAGAGTTGTCATAGGTGAGCCCAAGATTGCTGAGATTGCACTGAGCAGACGAATAACATTCCTCAGCAATGCATCAACCATCAGGGTAGAATGACAGCTCCCCCAGTCGGGAGAGCAATACTTTGTACAAGACGTTTATTGAGCTTAAACACCTGAGAAATCCCATTTGAACCTTAACAATATTTTCATCTTTCTGGGGCCTTTGACAACTGTAAAAATCAGAAATGATATATTGAAGGAAGAATAAAATATAAAACAAGAATTTTTGAGGTCTGTAACAGGTCTGTAAAAGAATTGTCCTTGATTATATGAATTTTATTAATTACAAAGATCCCCAGTGAGAGATGAAATTCAGGCCAGACATGAGAACTGGATTGCAAATTCTGATATTCAGTGAGTTGCATGATAAGAGTTATGATTGATGTATGAAGAGTGCAAAGCGGAGTCATGAAACGAGAGTTGGCGGCACTGGATGTACTGTGAAGATCAACAATGAGTTGTATAAAAGATATTAGTAGCGAAGCAGAAAATTGCGGAACTCCAGAGAATATGTCACAGTAACTTTTCTGGAGCGTCTTGCCATTATCATCTTGTCAGTTCATAAGAGTACCGGGCCGACCGAAAGGTCGTCTAGCTAAATTTCTAATTTGTGGGTTTATAATGATAAAAAAAGAGGATTGAGACACTTATGCAACATATGGTTATCTTTATTAAGGAAACGTTTCTCCACAACGTGGCTTCATCAGTCCAATACAAAGTAGAAATATGTAAAGAGCGGAGGAGTTTGAGGTAATCAGACCCTCAGCCTGGAATCGATGTGTTCAGTCCATCACTCTTGTAGAAAGTGCAGCATATGGCCGGAGAGGTGGCTTATATACTGCAGTCAGGCGAGTCGAAGCAGGAGGAGGCGGGGTCATAGTGGAACCATCCACTAGTCTGCGTAGGTCTTCGTCCTAAGATTGGACAAGTATTAAAGATCCCATGATGTTGCAGTGTCTGACAGATGTGATGAATGGTTTTCAAAACCGACAAGTTTTGGACTGATGAAGCCACTGTATGGCGAAACGTTTCCTTAATAAAGATAACCATATTTTGCATAAGTGTCTCAATCTTCAGTTTGTTGGTTTTCAAAACTACACATCACAAAAAAGAGGTAGAAATTAAAGCACCTTCAATGATGAAGATGGTTCTGTCAGAGATTATGCTGCAAACAAGTTTGCAGA